TGTGTGTGTGTGTGTGTGTGTGTGTGTGTGTGTGTGTGTGTGTGTGTTTGTATGGGGAGGAGGGGCAGATATGATTTTATCAGTTTAGGGACCTCTCTCTGTGAAATTTTATCTATCAATGCAGATTGATACCCTCTCTGCAATTTATAATCACTTGTGCTAGCTCACAAAGGCATGAAGTATAAAAGGCAGGACTTGACCCTCAGAAGCCAGGTCTTCCATACACACCAACTCTATCTATTAGACCATACCACCTCTCTTTATGTAAACAAACTTTTGATATTAACTTACTACTTTTCTAATTTTAATTTTTTTTCATAGGGGCCAACATTGACTTTCTTTATTTGCTTCCATTTTCACAATATCTTCTGCCTACTTGGGGGTGGTTTCCTTCTTTGTGCACGGTGCATGAGTTCAGCAGCTTTTGGAAAAACACTATGTATGTTGAGAATGCTCCACAACAGAAGAGTGTAATGAGTCTTCCAAATTATATCCAAATGGAGTCCTTTTCCTAGTTTAAGCTAATACACATAGAAATGCACATTACAGACCCCAGAGATAGCCTCCCAATACACAGTTAATTCAAGACAGTCTGAAGTGCTAAATCTTAAGAGGTAATGAACATTTTACAGAGGGCCTAATGGAAATGAGATGCAATAAAACCAATATTTTACTTAATGGGAGCATCACCTCCTTGTCAACAGAAATTCCTTAAATTACAAAAGAAGAAATGACACCATTTATAAACAGAAACATTCTAAATAACTAAGACTCAACAGGCAAGTAAGTACAAAGCTTATGGGGAATTGTAGAGTAAGCAATGAGAGGATTATCTGATACTCATTATAACGAAAGACTGACCTTATTTCCTTTTTATGGCACAGTTAACTGAGATTGGTACATAAGGGGGAATACCACAGACAAAGAACATCACATTATGTCAGCAAAGCATTCAACAAAACTCCTATGATTTTTTTCTAGAAAAAATGGTGAAACAGAAACTAGATAAGAGTATGACTAGGTGGATTTATAACTAATCTAACAAACATACTCAACAGTATTGATGGCAAGATGGAAAAAAGTGAATAGACTAAGTAGTAATGCCACATAGCCATGAACTTGGCTCATTCTGTCAATAAATTAGATGAAGACATTAAAAAAGTATCATTTGTCAGATCTGTGGATAACACAATGATGAAAGATGTATTTGATATGATAGATCAAAGAATCAAGATGTAAAATGGCTTCAGCAGTCTAGAACGCTGGGCTTAATAAGCTCCTAAAACGAAATGTAGTACAGATTAATGTAAAGTCTTACTTTTAGTTTTTAAAAAATCAATTTTGCAAGATGAGGAAGTCTTAGAATCATTATTTTTGAAATCAGAAGATTTCTGTCTTCCAGTATTTGAAAGGCTGTCATAAAGAAGAGGGATTATTCATTTTACATAGATCTACAGAACATTACTGGGACTACAGAGTAGAATATATAGCAAGGTAGATATTATCGTGAACAATTCAACAAGTATTTACTAAGTACCCACTAAATGTCAGAATTTTAGTGCTGGAACAGCCTTAGAAATGTCTTAGAAGTGGAGCTCCATTTTCTCATTTTAAAGAGGAGAAAACCAAGATTTAAAAAAGGTGAAATTATTTGCTCAAAGTTCACACAACTCCAAACACACTTAACACAGGCAATATACAATAACTACAGTCTTCTTGACTCCTGAGGAACTAGATGCTGATCAAAAAAAAAAAATCCAAAACAAAACTCAGAAGGTATGGTAATGTTAACACATGAATTTTTATAACATACCTTTTCTATGTGAAGATCCCAAACAGATGTCAATTATGGTTAGGCTACTAATTGGAATTTAAGGTTTATTCTCTAGTAATTCCCAAGCTATATTTCAAAAATGCACTTGTACATTCCTGGGTTTGACTGAAGAGCCTCAGGTCCATCCCCACAGGAAAACACTTGACTGCAAGTAGAGCATTTTGCAAAAACTGAGACTTTTGTATATTTGTTTCAGTTTAGGGTTCCTCATATAAGGTGAGGTGGCTCTAGGTAATTTTAACATTTGATGCATTCCTGCAAATTACCACAAGAGAACTCAGAATCTTAAAGCTGTAAAGTTTTACAGGTCATCCAGTACAAACTTCTATTTCATGCTTATGAATCCCTAGCCTGAGAGCAGTGACCACGAAAAAGATCTGAGGGTTTTGGTGGACTACCAGTTCAACATGATCCGAAGTGATCAAAGGCTAACATAAATATTAGGTTGAATTATTAGAAATATTAAAGGAAGTAAGAACACTAACAATAAGAATGTATATTTGTATACTACCTTACTTTTTACAAAGCACTTCATATACACTATTTAAATAACAGTCCCACTGTGCTGTCTACGGGTCAGACCACAAACAAATATTATCTTCAATTCTGGGTGGTATATTCTAAGAAACAAGAAAAACTAGAATGTACCCAAAAGGAAACGAGGGATCTAGAGAGTAGGTTGTACAATAAACACTCTAAGGAACTGGGAGATGTTACCTCTAGAAAAAAGGTCTTGTGAGGGATCTCTTCAAATATTTAAAGGCCTCTCATATAGAGGGAGGATTATTCATTTTGTCTACGTAGCTCTATTACGTTCAAGAGATAGAAGTTAACATTACAGACATTATATTATTGATTATAGTAGACATACTTCTTGATAATGAGAAAGATGGGAACAGATGAAAAGAAGAAATGGCAAGCAAGATGGAAAAGAAGTCAAGAGATATTTTTGTTGTATTATCTTTATCTACAGCTATCTTTGCAATTGTGGCATTTCTAAGATGATTTTAAAAATTAAATATGAACAGAAATTTGTCTTGTTCTGATTTCCAAAAGCAGGGCAAAGTAAAAGAGTACACAGAGTAGAACAGGAGTCCTACTGATCTATATGTCAAATACTTCTGAGGAAAGGAATGTATGAAAAAGAAGGGTTCATTAACCTCTGGTGACTGCAGAAGTAGTGATCAAAGCAAGCGTAACTGAGCTGTGCCCTTCAACATGACACACAGTCCAGAATGCTTGTTTAAATGGCAAGCTTTAATATAAGATATAAGATTCCTTATAGAATGTATCTTTTATTGCTCTACGTTTTCCACATTTACCATATTATTTGATTTGTGCCAAAGTATTTGCCCTTTCTTCTACATCAGGGGTTCTTAACCCAGAAGACATGAATTTGTTTTTTAAAAATATTTTCATAATTATTTCAATAGAATTGATTATCTCTGTAATGTCATATACTGTATTTTATGCATTTAAAAACATGATCCTGAGAAAGGTTTCACAGGAATCTTCAGACTGCTCAGGAAGAAAGGAGTCCATGACACAAACAAAGATTAAAAAGCACTGTTTCAAATGGACTTTATTTATTGGTATTCTATGAGATTCTGGAAGCACTGGCAATATGCAACAACTTATAAAACAGACCCTGTCCTCCTTAAAAGTGAAAGACATAAAAGAAACAGATTCGTCATTGGCAAAGGAGATATGCCCCATGATTTACAAATCATTTATTGCCCAGTTCCCCCCATATTTAGGGAAAAAGGGCATAGATTATATTTTTTGATATTCACAATCTCTTAACTTTTAAAGGTAAGAGGTTAAAGTAGAAAAACAGTATTGAGTTGAGCAGTAAATTATTTTCTTGAAGGAATAATAGTTGAATGCCTATACTGAGTGTCAGACTTGGGGTTAAGAGCACCTGCTTAAGTGCCATACAGCAGACAGGGCTATTTTGCAGTGATTATGTCTATTTTTCAAAGGGCCATAGAAAAGGTCATGACTTGGTCATCTGACCTTTGTGAGCTTCAGGTTCTTAATTCGTAAGATGGAGATAACAGTACCTATTCTCACAGGTCTGCTGTGAGAGACAAACGAGATATCATGTATCAAATACACTGCAAAACTTAATGGTGGACATGTAACACTTTATCACTGATTCATGGCTTACATCAGTGTAAAAATCTAACTTTTATTCGGTCCAGATAAGATGGGAGTTTGTGGTAGGCAGGAGGAAGCAGCTAGAAAATACGGCAATGGTAACTGTGTTAACTTCATTTGAGGGCCAATCTTTGCCACAGAAGTTCACACAATCAACCTTAAAAGTTTCCTAAAGCTGTAGTTACTCCTCAATGTTCAAGTAAGAATATGGTGACTATGGCTTTTGTGAACTGTGGACTTCATAACAAATATGCAGGCTTTTGGCACTTCTAGTTTGGACTATTATTAAAAAATTCTTTTTAACTAAAAATATCTGGCACAGAATTAAACCACTCAGTATAAAGCTGGTATTAAGTAACAAGCACAACATTCCAATTATGAGCTCTCATACTATAACAAATTAAGTGCAATAATCCATCAACACTTCTTCAGGGTACATGACTGAACCTAATACTACAGAATACATAGTATGGGGCAAGGTAGTAACAGGATCATACAAAATTCATAATTATGGTTATTTGGATTTCATGACAAAACAGTCCATTTCACAAATAATATATCTTCAAGGAGAGAGTATAAATTCTTCTGCTCTGCTTATACTAACTTTTCCATTCTAATCTCAGCAAAGATAAGATTCTCTAGTACATTCAAGACTCTTCCTCTCTAAGTTACTACAAATCAATTCAGCAAGCACTGAAAAAAAACAATACAGTCTATGCTCTCAGGAAGTTTACCTTTTACTCAGGGGAACATGATATATACAGATAAGCAAATGCAAACCAAGTAACAGAGCCAGTTGGGGAACAGTAGGGTGAAATGAGGCAGCGAGCACTAACAACAGGGATGATGAGAAAAGATCTTGTGAGTAAAGTGGAACCTGAACTGAACCTTAAAGGGATCTAGGGATTCCAAAAAGCCTCCAAAAGAAATGAGGAGGAAGAATATTCTAGCATGGGAAACAGAACGGGTAATTAGGTAGGAGTGAGAATGCCATGTATAGCCAATTTAGCGGGAATACACAGCGCTTGAAGGGAACGATATGAAATCAACATGGAAAAGTGAGTGGGAGTGAGAGTGTGAAAAGCTTTAAATGTTAATGAGAAGAGCTTGTATTTTATTCTAGGAAAAACAGGAGATCCACTAAAGTGTCTTGAGTAATAGAATGACCTGATCCTCAGTCTTGCAGACGAATGATAGAGGTAGAGATTAGAATCAGCAAAACCAATCAAAGGGCTCCTCTATTACTCTAGCGTCCTGGCAGTTACAGACACACAGTCTTTTCCTTTAGAATGTCTTGTTATCAAATATTTTTTGAAAAGATCATTGATATTTTGTTTCGAGGTTTACAAAGCATAAGCCCCAAGATTTCATGTGAAAGTAGAATCAGTATTAACTAGAGCAAACCACAGGGTACACATTATCCTACTAGAGCTATCCAATTGTCACTAATTTGAATTTGATATACAGTTTATTCAGTAAGAATTGATTAAGAGACTACTGTTCACAGAACACTTTGCTAGGCTGAGGGAGATGGACAAAATTCAAGCAAGATTGTCTGTTTTCACGAGGCATACTATCAAGGAAGGGGTGAGACCTACACAGAAAACTGATATGCACGCCTCAAAATAAGGCAAACAAAATGCATGGCTAAGGAGGAATCTTCACAGGGAGGGAAAGGTCATTACCAAGATATATATGTGCATGCATGTGTACAGGGAAGACTTAGGAAGGAAGTAACATTTGGATTTGGCTTTCAAGGGGTAAGGTGGCCGGGCAGGACACTTGGCGTATATGAAAAATGCAAGCAAAAGGTGATGGATGAAAGTGTGGGATCTAACTAACAGGCATACAGACATTCTCTCCCTATGCACTGTCATTACTGATATCACTTGTTTCCCTGCCCTTATTCAAAGGAAAACTCAGTCAGTCCTTCCTTCCCTCCTTTGAACCAATTTTTACTGGAAGACTTTATCTCTACTATTTCTTGCCCATTAGATTCTTTTTTTTTCCCCCCCAAAAAAAAATTTCTTTGAGATAAGCCTTATCCTTGCTAGGACGGCAACTTAATCAAAACAAAACAAAACAAAACAAAACAAAACAAAACCCTCCTGTTTAACTGCTTTTATTTTCAGTTCCAACAGGCATGTCCTACCTAACGTAATGACTTGTGGAAGCATAAAACAAATATGCTGGGGAACATAGCAACGATATTGTGAAAGAAAGCTAATTCCCAGGTGGCCAAAATGTGGACAATAAAAGCTTAAGTTGGCCTGTACAGAGGTGTGAGACTATGATAGTTGGCTGGGGTTACTGACAGCATAACAGATCTGAAACTTGACATACAATCAACAGAGAGACCATTCAAGTTTATGGTCATAATAGGGTAAGGGCAGGAAAAGGGAGTATCTGGTTTCAGGAAAAGCAGTAGAAAATCAAACAACATCTAGGAAGGAGGCTGAGGAGGAATAACTCCTTCCAGCATAAGAATACCCAAAACTCCAGCTTACTATCTCATTAAAGATAAAAACTCTCACATGAATATGAACATTTCTACCCCCAACAAAAATTCATTGTCTATAGCTGGGGAAGAATGATCCATTCTCCCCAGAAGAAAAAAGCAACGGAAAATTACTGAGACCTAAGGCAAAGTTTGGCAGAACCACAGTAGATCAGAGAGAGGCCCTAGGGATTCAGGAGCTAAGATTTTTAACACCCTGTATTCAAGTGATTGGAAAAGTATAGCAACTACTAGAATAATGACCTCTAACTTGAAGAATCTGAATTAAAACTTTAAAAATTCTCACGGAATTTTTTTCTAGCATTCTTTTCTTTATATTCCTGAATCTGCTAGGCAGAGGAATTAACTCAGTGCTTCCTTTGTAAACAGGTTTTCTTAGGTAACAGTCCCTTAAAAGCAAACTGACTATAAAATTACTTGCCATCTCTGTGATATTTAAAAACTCAAGCAAAATACAAAAATTTTTACACAGGGTACCATATCTGAAAGATTTTTTAGGTGAAGCTTAGCTAGAAAAATATTGCTAGGGAACTTTTATTTGGAATATAGCCCCTGAAATGAAATCTGAATATTTCACTATAGTATTGTTGTTTCTAGATTAGGAAAAAGAAATAAGAAAAAGGATGAACTGATTCACAAGGAAATAGTGGCATGATTAATGGTAACAAGTGAAGAAAAGAAGACAGCTTCAAAGAAGTAGGGAGGAGTTTTGCTTTTGCCAAATGTGTTTGATGAAGAAACAGGAAAACAGTTGGTTTGAGGCCAAGCAGTAAAGAAACTCTCCAGTTATAGGGTTGCACATCAAAAGGTGCCCAACCCGCCGAGCATATGCAGATACAAAGGACCACTTTTTTATGTTTCATGATCAGTAAGTCCACATGCCTATTACATCGACTACTTAAAGGAGTTAAGTGAAAAACAGAGGCATATTACCACATGTTTAATTTCAGGAAGAATTTGAAGAGACTCAAATTCTTTCACTTTAGCTGGATCAACATCTTCTTCCAATTCCCAGGTGCTTTCTTCATACGGCAGGGAACACCACTTCACTAAATAATGAGTCACCTCCTGATTGGGAGCAAAGAGGAGAGAAGAGAAATCCGAGTCACTTACCACGAGAACACAGGGACTAGGACTGGTCCTACCTTGGCCAGGTATTTGAAAATCACTGCAATTAGATAACAAATGTGTGGGATTCAAAGAAGGGTTACAAAATCAACGCTGATGGAATAAGTACCACCCAAACACACAGCAGGGTGCAGAAGCACTTACTTCCCCTGTATCAGAGTCCTTGGTGTGGGCCACTTCTAAGATACGATCAACTTCGACATAGTCTGGATTGAACAAATCTTCGTCAGGCTAATGCAAACAGAGGAAGGCTGTTAAAAAAGAGTTCCTCAATTCCCTTCAACCCCATACCCCAGGTTTTTCAAAATGCCATTAGGCCAACAAAGCCCATCCATTTGCATAGAGATAGATATTTCTTTAAAAGTTAGCTAACAAATATCTGTTCTCTTCTCTCAAGATCTACCACATTACAATTCAGGACCTGCCATCTTTAATATTAAAAGTTTCAAGGAGGCAAAGCATAATTTTGCTTGAGCTGCTTTATATGGGACCCAAAATAGCACCATGCATATGTTAGAAGGGGTCCTTATATTTTCTCTCATTTCCCCTATGATTCCCTCTACAAATCACAGGAAATAGATTTAAAAGGAGCTCAGATGCCATCTTGTACAATCTCTACATTTTACATACGAGGAAACAGAGACACCAAAGAATGATCCAATAACTTGCTTGAGGTTACACAAGTAGTGTCAGATGAACATCCAATTTCTGTCTAAACAATTTTAGTGGTTAGAAGATCACCACCCTGACAAGAAACATTTTTTTAAAAAAAACTATTATTCTTAACTTGCCCAATGTTGGCAAACATAGGCACCATCCTATACAAAGAAGAACTGAAAGAGGTCTGCATATGAAACTCCACATCTCCACTGCATACTACTAGCATTTCTTTAAAAAATTATAAAATAAATCCAATACATAAAAGTTCAGTTGCTTATCTGAGTTTCCTTAACTTTCTTCTTTCATTAAAAAAAATGCTATAATGCTCTATGTTTCTTTTCTTTTTGTTCTGGCTTCACTGTCATCGATATCATTGATCCCTCTTACTAACTTCCATCCCTCCAAACAAAACAAAGCAAAATAACCTTGTACAAAACAAGAAGAATCAAACAAAACAAATCCACACACTGGCCAAGTCTAAAAACGTGTGTCTCAACCTACTCCTTGAGTTCTCCACCTTTTTGTCAGGCTATAGGTAGCAGACCTCATCATCAGTCCTCTGCAGTCATGGCTGTTCACTGCACTAATCAGAGATCATAAGTCTTTCAATTTTGCTTTTCTTATGATGAACAGGCTGACTTCAGAAAAACCTAGAAAGACTTGTACGGTCTGATGCTGAGTGAAGTGAGCAGAACCAAGAGAACGTTGTACACAACAGCCACGTTGTGTGATGACTAATTTTGATAAAATTAACCCTTCCTGGCAATACAAGGATCTAAGACATCTCCAGAGGCCCTGGGATGGAAAATGCTATCCACACCCAAAGAAAGACTATGGAAGCCAAATTGTTATTTTTTTTTCTCTTCTGTTGAGTTTTGTTTCCTCCTTCTGATGATTCCTCCTACTGGTTTTAATTTCTACTTACAACACCACTAATGTGAAAATATGTTTAATATGAATGTAAATGTATAGCCTGTATCAGATTGTGTGCCATCTTGGGGAGGGTGGTGGGGAGGAAGGGGGAGAAAAATTTTAGCATATGGAAGTGATTATTGATAAATCAAAATAAATTAATAAAAAAAATTTTGCTTTTCTTTACAATGTAGTTACTATATAATTTTTTTTCTGATTCTGCTCACTTCACTGTGCATCATCAAAAAGTTTTTTCAAGATTTCACCAAAACTCATCAAAACTGTATATTTTATTTCCTTTGAAATTTTAAAAACCAAAAAATGAACTGAAACATTTGCATAAAAATTTTCTCCAATTTGAAAGCAAGAGAGTTCACGTTTAGTTTAAGAATAACGTGACTATTTTTTGATGAAAGAGCATGCAAATTGCTCTCGTTTTAGGTATTGATCTATATGCCATTAAATTCCTAAGAAATGTTCTGTTTAGTGGGTGAAGTCAAGATGGTAGAGAGAAGATAGTAACTTGCCTGAGCTCTCCCCCAAACCCCTCTAAAGACCTTTAAATAATGCTCTAAAACAAATCCTGGAGTGGCAGAACCACAAAAATAAAGATGAAACAATTTTTCAGACCAAGACACCTTAAAAGTTTGGCAGGAAAGGTCTGTGACACCGGAATGAGAATGGAGCATAGGTCAGTGTTGGCCATGCCAGAGCAGACCACGCCCCAGCAAACCAGGAGTAGGCCTTGGGAGTGAATGAATCAGCAGGGGCAGCGGCTGTTTCCAAAGCTCTCAGTGAACAGACAATAAGGGGGGTGGGGTTGAACAACTGATCAAAAGGAGATTACGGGGATCTCTCTGCTGGCACTGGACACAGGATTCTGTTGCTTTCTCCATACTCAGCTCTTGGTGGAAGTCCCAGAGTAAGGAGGAGCACTAGCACATCAGAGCTTGTGTCCACAGGGGAGCAGGGACCCTCATCATAGTTTCAGGGCAGAAAAGAGTGCTTGTGGAAGCTCACAGACCAGAAGAGTAGTAAACATACCTCTCCTTAGATCATACCACCTTGGAAAATCTGAAAACTTATAAGTCCATAGAAATACCTATGAAAATAGCTGCACAAAATCCCTGAAGCTTGGGACAGTGTGTCTTCCACCCTGGAAGCAGAGCCCCACTTTAGCAAAGAGTTAAAAGTCAAGAAATAGGCTGGGAGTATGAGCAAACAACAGAAAAAAAATCTGATCACAGAAAATTACTATGGTGACAAGCAAGATCAAAAGGCACACTCAGAAGGTAACAGCAAAGTCAAAATTCCTACATCCAAAGCCTTCAAGAAAAATATGAATTGGTCTCAGGCCATGGAAGAGCTCAAAAAGAATTTTTTAAATCAAATAAGAGAGGCAGAGGAACAACTGGGAAAAGAAATGAAAGTGATGCAAGAAAACCATGAAAAAAGAATCAACAGCTTGGTAAAGGAGGCACAAAAAAAAAAATACTGAGCAAATAACACTTTAAAAAACAGAATATGCCAAATAGTAAAAGAGGAACAAAAATCCAATGAGAAGAAGAATGCCTTGAAAACTAGAACTGGCCAACTGGAAAAAGAGCCACAAAAATTCATTGAAGAAAAGAACTTATTAAAAAATAGAATTGGCCAAATGGAAAAGGAGGTACAAAATCTCACTGAAGAAAATAATTCCTTAAAAATTAGAATTGAGTAAGTGGAAGCTAATGACTCTATGAGACATCAAGAAACAATAAAACAAAACCAAAAGAATGAAAAAATAGAAGACAATGTGCAATATCTTAGTAGAAAAACAACTGAACTGGAAAACAGATCCAGCAGAGATAATTTAAAAATTATTGAACTATCTGAAAGCCATGATCAAAAAAGAGGCTAAACATCATCTTTCAAGAAATTATCAAGGAAAACTGCTCTGAAATTCTAGAACCAAAGGGTAAAATATAAATTGAAAGATTCCACTGATCACCTCCTGAAAGAGATCCCAAAATGAAAACTCCCAGGAATATTGCAGCCAAACTCCAGAGTTCCAAGTCAAGGAGAAAATATTGCAAGCAGCCAGAAAAAAACAATTTAAGTATCACAGAGCCACAGATAGGATAACACAAGATTTAGCAGCTTCTACATTAAAGGATCAGAAGACTTGGAATATGATATTCTGGAAGGCAAAAGAGCTAGAATTACAACCAAGAATCACCTACCCAGAAAACTGAATATAATCCCTTTCATGGGGAAAAAACGGATATTCAATGAAATAGAGGACTTTCAAGCATTCCTGATAGAAAAAATCAGAGCTGAAAATGTGACTTCCAAATACAGGACTCAAGAGAAGCATAAAAAGGTAAACAGGAAAGGGAAACCACAAGGACTTAATAAGGCTAAACTATTTACATTCCTACATGGGAAGACAATCTTTGTAATTCATAAGAAATGTCTCATTATTAGAGCACTTAGAAGGAGTATATAAAGAGGGCACAGGTTTGAGTTGAATATGAAGGGATATTTTAAAAATAAAATTATGGGGTGAGAAGGAGGAATGCACTGAGAGAAAATGAAAGGAAGAGGTAGAATGGAGTAAATTACCTCACATAAAAGGGTCAAGAAAGTGCTATTACAGTGGAGGTGAAGATGGGGGATCTGGCAGAGAACACTTGAACCTTACTCTCTTCGGAACTGACTGAAAAAGGGAATAACATATGTACCAAAATGGATATAGAAATCTATCTTACCCTACAGGAAAGTAGGAGGAGAAGGAGATAAGAGAAGGGGGGAGGGTCTTCATAGAAGGGGGGAGGGTCTTCATAGAAGGGAGGATAGATTGGGGGAGGCAATAATCAGAAGCAAAATATTTTTGAGGAGAGACAAGGTGAAAGGAGAGAGAGAACAGAATAAACAGGGGGAAATAGGAAGGAGGGAAATATAGTTAACAATCATAACTGTGAAAAAAAATTTTGAAATTTCGCTGATAAAGGCCTCATCTCTCAAATATATAGAGAAATCAGTCAGATTTATAAAAAAAAAAGCCATTCCCCAATTGACAAATGATCAAAAAATACGAAGTCAGTTTTCAGAGGAAATAATCAATACTATCTATAATCGTATGAAAACATGCTCTAAATCACTACTGACTGGAGATATGCAAATTAAAACAATACTTCAGTACTACATCACACCTATTAGATTGGCTAATGTGACAGAAAAGGAGAATGATAAATTTTGGAGGGGAGGTGGGAAAATTGAGACACTAATGCACTGTTGGAGTTGTGAATTGATTCAACCATTAAGTAGAACAATTTGGCACTGTAGCAGCTCTTTTCTGGTGGCAAAGAACTGGAAATTGAGGGGATGCCAGATCAATTAGGGAATGGCTGAACAATTTGTGGTATATGATTACGATGGAATACAATTGTGATATAAGAAATGATGAGCTAGATGCTCTCAGAAAAACCTGGACAGACTTACATGAACTGATGCAAAGTGAAATAAGTAGACTCAAGAGAACATTGTATACAGCAACAGCAATATTGTAAGATGATCAACTGTGAATGACTTAGCTATTCTAAAGCAATACAGTGATCCAAGACAAATCTGAAGGACTTATGAAAAGTGGTATCTATCCCCAGAGAAAGAATTGATGGAATCTGAATACAGATTGAAGCATACTTCTTTTTTTACTTTCTTTATTTTTCTTGGGTTTTTATTTTGGCCTATGTTTTCTTTTACAACATGACTAATATGGAAATATGTTTTGCATGATTACACACGTATAACCTACATCAAATTGCTTGCCTTCTTAAAAATGAGGGTGGTGAGAAGGGAGGGAGAAAATTTGAAACTCAATTTAAAAATGAATGTTGAAAATTGTTTTTATATGTAATTGGGGAAAAATAAAGTATTAAATTAAAAAAAAGAAATGTTCTGTTGAGTTTTCACATTCCACTTGGCAGCATACAATGCTATCTACCCTTATGTGGCCACTGATTCACTTAAATATTGGATCTACTGGATCATTGCTTTTCCTCAGTATTAATTTGGACTAAATTATACCAGAAAATAGCAGGTTCAACAATGTGAGAGAAACAGTGGATCTACAGAGAGCCTCAACTTCAATTAACAAATCACTCAAACCCGTAAGTCAGATTTTCAAAACTCAAAGAACTGAAGCTACATTAATTATTAAATGTCATTTTACCTCAGTAAAAATGTGCTTCATTTGTGCTTGCTTATTTCTGAAGCGCTTTATCTTCTGAGAGATTCGAGGGTCTTTTTCCAGCTCTTCCATCGTTGCCCATTTACAGTGCAAGTAGGAACTGCCCAAAGATACAAAAACATTTAATCCAGGAACAACCACACAAATGTGTTATTTGTTTTAATTGTTTAAAATTCAAACTATTAAACATAAAAGCAGCTCATTGGTTCTAAGATTCAAATCTAATTTCTGATGCCAAGATTCAGTATTGTTATTGTACTAATTTTGCTATTTATGACATCTACACATGTGCCTTTAAGGGGTTTGCTCTTTAGGATAGGGAAAAGCCGGGGGCAAGTTGTAAGTGCTTATGAATCCCTAGCAGTGACCATGAAAAAGACCTGAGGGTTTTGGTGGACTACAAGTTTACCATGATCCGAAGTGATCAAAGGCTAACATAAGAACTGACACTAACAGAGCAATGGTGGGCACAGACTTTAATGGCCATCACTGAGAGCAATAGATAAGCAGAAGAAAATGAAAAGAAGAGGAAGATCAAGAAGAGAAGAAAGACTACACTTCAGTAAAACTCAAGGAGATAAAATTTTAAGGGTCATCCTAAAAATACATGAAAGATGTTGACATGGGACATTTTGTTAAAAGGGGGGAAGCATCCTTTTTATGTGAAGGAAATGTAAAGGAAGAAATTAAAAGCTGTAAACAAGTAAATACATACAAGTTTCTGTACTTGACGTAGAATAGCTCCATGTCAAAAGGAAGCTCCCCAGGGTGAACCTGTGGCCAACAAGCAGATTATCAATTCTGTCCCTGTGACAGGTGCTACTCTGCATGAATAATTCATGTGCTAAATGAAAATACATACATTTTAAGCAAAGATTACTTAAGAAAACTTTCACTTTCACAGGCCTTTTACTTCCTGCTGACAACTAAAAGATTGTTTTATGGAGGTGAAACACAGTTAAAAACCACATGGATTAAGGCTCCGTATTTCTACAGTCTTGCAAGATTCAAGCTAGGAATAGATTTATCTTATTCCTCTGATCACACAGCTAGCATAGATGTTTAGGATAAACCTAGAGTAAAAGGGAATACTTATATAGCCTCACCCCACATAACAGTGGTCCAGTCAATATTATTTAGCAATAGTATCATCAATAAGCCATGACTCCAAACCCCAATCCATTTGAATGAACCCTGACTGTAACACCATAAGACTGACTTCACATTGTTCCTATGAACTAACTATCCTAGACCTAAATGGTGTTGCTCTGCTTGACATCAGGCAAAGTATGCTTTGATGTATAATTTTTCTTATGACAGTTCAATAAATCACCTGTGGCACTGAGGCTTAAAGAAATGAAAACTTCCTTAAATATTTAATTTAAGGATGAAAAATAAGTTCTCATTGATTTCATACCCCAATATTCTTCTGTCTCTAAAAATTTTCTTCCTGAGATGTTACCTGCTAATTCTGGGATACTTTACTTTAAACGGATCAAACCAATCTAGGAGACTTCTCTGGTATACCCCTCACTGTTTCCCCTCTTAGCCCTCAACTGAATTCTAATGAAGGTAGCAATTATGGAATAGCTATCTCTAGATGCAAAGAGAAAGGAAAAAAATCATTTTGCTCTTGGTTAAGTTACATAACCCAAAATTTATTATGAAGGACAAACGGATGATAAATGTCAAAAATATTCTGGCATAATTATCACTCCTACCAAGGCATTACATCCCCATTCCACCCTCAATTTCTCCTTTCTGCCCATTCCTCATACCTCCTAAACTTGTGCATATTTCCAGATGGCTGAGTTAGATGAAAATTACAACTCATAAGCCACTGACCTCCTTCTGTACCATCTTGGATGCCAGAATCTTCTCAATGATATTAGCATCATCTTCTGGAGGCTCCTAAAGAAAAGGGTTAAAGTAATGGTCATTATTCTACTGACACCGAGGAAGATTTCATCTAACGTACCATAACTGGCACTGTTTGATCTAGAAATTTACTAAACCTCAGTAACCATCAGCACATAAGGTGAATAAAATAATCTTTTATAACAGATGTTTATGACTACACTGGAGGGGTTCTAGTGCTGCATAAAAAGATGATGGAACACAAAGCAGAATAGATAGCACTAATTGGAAAACCTCCAAATTACAAAGAACCCTCAGAAAGGAAAAAAATCCTAGTTAATAATATAAAATGTTTGAAAATCCCTATGGTACTAATGGGGGCAGAGTACTCTAATAATAAGAGCAACAATTCACATTTACATACTATAGCACTTTATAGTATAAAAAGAACTTTCCTCATAATAATCCTGTGATATAGGTAGTATAAGCAATATTAGCCCCATTTTACAGTCAAATATACAGAAAGTCAGAGGAGTAAAGTGGTCTGCTCATTATCAGCCAGGAAGTAAGTAAATGGCAGCCCTGGAGCACGAGCCCATGTCTAATACATTCCAAACAAGCCTTCTCTTTTTTTAGAAACAGAAGTGATAAGAAACTATGACAACCCACAAGGTCAAGCTTGTTTCCTTTTTAAAGTCCATATATAAAACATTCCATATGATACTTTCAAAGCTGCCCAGCTTTTCTCCCTCTGAACCTCCTTCTGTTCTGTGTGCCTTCTTTTAAAAGCTTCACTGTCTCTTTTGTTTCTTTTCCTTCTTTTTGTTGGCATCACTATCACTAGTCCCCCAACAATCCCTTCCTGCAAAAAAGAATACAAACCTCATCCCTTGTAACAGATAGGCCATCAAGCAAACAAATTTGCACATTAGTCATGCTCGAAAAACTATTCTACACTTCTATTCTATCACCTCTCTGTCAGGAAGTGGGAAACAGTCTTCACTTTGGGTCTTTTGGAATTGTGACTGGTCAGAATTGAATTCTCAAGTCTTTCAAAGTTGCTTTTCTTTATAATGCTATAAGTTATTGTATAAATTATTCTCCTGGTTCTGCTTATTTCAATATTCATCAGTTCTTCCCAGGTTTCTCTGAATCATTCATCTCTTATTATGCAATAAATATTATTCCATTACATTCACAGGCTAAACTTCATTTAGCCATTTCCCTACTGACTGGCACCCTATTGGTTTCCAATTCTTTGTCAGAACAAAAATAAGTATTTTTTGTATATGAGGGTCCTTTCTTTCTTTGAGCTTTTTGGCATTTATGTCTAGCAGTGGTATCACAAGGTCAAAGAGTATATGCGTAGACAAAAAGAAAATGGTCTATTTTATCTTGTTTGACACTATCCCTTGTGTGCAAGAACACATTCATTATCCAGTTACAAAACATATCTTCTTCCTTGGTCCTCAAATTTTATGACATTACTTTTTATATCCAAGTCATGTATCCATTTGGAGCTTAATGTGGCATACGATGTGAGATCATCATCTAAAACTCATTTCTCCCAGGCTGCTTTCTAGTTTTCCCAACAGTTTTTGCTGAATAGACAATCTTTGCCCCACAAGGGAGTCTTTGGATGTGTTAAACTCTACACTACTGTTTGTTTCTCTATAGTGAATGCCTAATCTGTTCCACTGACCAACTTTTCTATTTTTTAACCAGTACCAAATAGTTTTTATGATTACTGTTTCGTAGGTTAGCTTGAGATCTGGTAAAAGTAGATTCCTTTCCTTTCTACAATTTAACAATTTCCCTTGAGATTCTTGATATTTTCTTCTCCAGATTAATTTGTCTTATACCTGCTGAGATAATCAAATAATTTTCAAAATTTTTACTATTAATATGTCCTGATGCATTTAGTTTTCCTAAAATTTAACCAACTATTAACTGTTCATAAATCTCAGGTGGTCACAGTATATAGATTTTAAGTATGTGGTAAAACCACTTTAATATTTTTATATGAACATTCATTATGGATACTAATCTACAGTTTTCTCTGATTTGTCAACTTCTTGGTTTAGGGATCAAATCGTATTTCCATTAATGAAGGAATTTGATAGGCTACCTTTCCCTCAGATTTTTGCAAACTGTTTATGCAATGTTGGAATAAATTATTTTTTGAATGTCTGATATAATTTATCTGGTCCTGTTTTGTTTTTTGTTTTTCCCTTTTGGGAGCTCATTTATGGTTTATACAAGTTCATTTTTTGAGATTGGATTATTTAAAATCTTGATTTCTTATTTCATCAATATCCACATTTTACATTTTCATTAATAGTCATCCATTTCTTATTAGTTTTGCTGAAACATGTAATTGGGCAAAAGAGTTCATAATGATTCCTTTATTTCCTCTTCCTTTGTTATGAATTCTCCACTTTCATTTTTGTTGACATTTGCTTTTCTACTCTTTTAAAAAAATAATTTTAGCTACTTTTTTCTATTTCATTAGGTTTTTTTCCTTTTTAAAAAAGCAGCTTCTGGTTTTAGTATCATTTCAATGACTTCTTTGTTTTCAATTTTATTATTCTATATTTTGGTCTTCAGAATTATTATTTTGGTGTTTAGCTAAGATTTTATTATTTAATTTTTTAAACTTCTTTTTAGATGAATGCTCAGTAAATACACTGCTCTATTCTTTCTCTTTTGTGATGATTGAAGTTTTTAAGAGACATGAATGACTTCCTCTTCTGGGAGCCAAGACGGCAGAGTAAGAAGTAAGTCGCTCTTACCCTCCTTTATTAATCTCTAAAAGCCCAGAAAATATCGCCCCAGGAAAAACCTTAGAACAGCTGACTCAGAAGAAAGATGGGGTGCAGCAGTCCAGCAGCCCAGGTAGCTTGAGGGATTAATGGGAAAGGCCCCTCTTGCCCTGAGGAAAAGTGAAGCAGTACAGAACAGGAGGTGTACCAGCAAGCTAGGGGAAAGCCCCACTTCAGCATACCAGGAAGAGATCTTGAAACCCAGGTGTTGGAGCAGGCAAACACCAACACCAGGAACCCCAAGTGCATCAGTGAGGGCAGGGGAACCGGTAGAAACCAGCTTGGAAATCCACCAGGTGCCTTGGCATTCTACGGCAACCGGCTCTCCCAGTGCCTCAGCAAAACCAAGGGAAGCAGTGTTCCAAGGGGCCCCAGGTGGATAAACATCCTGCAATATCCATCTGAAAGGAGCTGAAGAAAGTGAAAGGAAGGAAAGGCCCAGGTGAGCAGGAAATCTCCAGGGGCCACACTATCCAATCCTACCCCTAGAGTTCCAGTGTTACTGGTTCCAGCTCAACACCAGGTAAGCTGCCAGAATCCTACAGCGTCCAACTGCCAACACTGGAGGCCCCAGCACATAAAGCCAGTGACCAGTCCCTAGGCTTCCAACACAAGAAGCTTGGGTCAGTGCCCTCTGCTCCCTAGCAGGAGAGCTCAATGTCTTTAAAGGCCAGGAAATAAGCAAACATCATGAGCAAAAAGAAACGTATGATAGATTCTCATTATGGGAACAGTGAAGATCAAGGCAGAAATTCTGAAGAGGACAACATTGTCAACAAACTCACATCTGGAACCTCAAAAGGGAATATGAACTGGTCTGAAGCCCAAAAAGCCTTCTTAGAAGAGCTCAAGAAGGATTTTAAAAGTCAAATGAGAGAGGTAGAAGAAAAAATGGGAAAAGAAATGAGAGGTATGCAAGAGAAAATCAATAGCTTGGAAAAGGAAGGACAAAAATTAACTGTAGAAAACAAGTCCCTAAAAAATACAATTGGCCAAATGGGGAAGGAGGTACAAAATCTAACAGAAGAAAACAATTTTTTAAAAATTAGAATTGGGAAAATGGAATCTAATGACACTATGAGAGAGCAAGAATCAGTCAAACAGAAACAAAAGAATGAAAAAATAGATGAAAATGTAAAATACCTCATTGGTAAAACAACTGACCTGGAAAATCGATCCAGGAGAGACAATTTAAAAATTACTGGTCTACCTGAAACTCACAATGAAAAAAAGAGCCTGGACAGTATCTTTTAGGAAATCATAAAAGAAAACTGCCCTAAGGCCCTAGAACCAGAGGGTAAAATAGCCAAAGAAAGAATCCAACGATCACCTCCTGAAAGAGATCCCAAATTGAAAACACCAAGGAATATAGTAGCCAAATTCCAAAATTACCAGGTCAAAGAGAAAATACTGCAAGCAGATAGAAAAAAACAATTTAAATACCATGGAATCACAGTCATGATTACACAGGACCTTGCAGCTTCTATATTAAAAGACCGTAGGATGTGGGATATGATATTCTGTAAGGCAAAGGAGCTTGGATTACAACAAAAGATCAACTACCCAGCAAAAATGAGCATGATCTTTCAAGGGAGGAGATGGATATTCAACAAAATAGAGGACTCCTAAACCTTTCTGATAAAAAGACCAGAACTCAACAGAAAATTTGATCTTCAAATACAAGACTCAAGAGAGACATAAAAAGGTAAACGGGACAGAAAGAAACATGTTATTAATCAGGATAAACTGTTTACATCCCTACAAGGGAAGAAGACACTTGTAACCCTTGAGAACTGTACTGTTATTACAGCATATTAAAGGGGTATACATACAGGGGGTGGGTATAAGTTGACTTTGATGTAATGATTAAAAAAAATCTAATCAAGTGGGTTAAATGGATCCAAGTAAGTGGATTAATCTAATCTAAGAAAATGCACTGAGAGAAAAATAAAGGAGGAGGCAGACAAGGGTAAATTACATTACAGGAAAAGGCACAAAAACCTATTACAGCAAAGGGAAAGAAGGGAGGGAGATGAGCATTGTCTGAATCTTACTCTCATCAGATTTGGCTCAAGAGGAGAATAACATAATCAGTTAGGTATAGAAATCTAACTTACCCTATAGGCAGTAGGAGGGAAAAGGGGAAAGAAAAGGGAGAGGGGGATAGAAAGGAGGCAGGACTGAGGGAGGCTGCAGTCAAAAACAAAACACTAGTGAGGAGGGAAAGGGAGA